CTCCTAGTTGCTGCAGGATATCTCATGCATTGGATGTTATATATATATATCCCAGCTAATTTAACTTTCTGCTTGTCTTGTGGACTGGTTGCCTCTTTTAGATCTTTTTCAAAAAAGTGTGTAGCATATAACTTTATAAAACTCACTCAACTGAGTGTATGTGTGTGTTTAAAGCAAACCTAAAAAGCTGACAACAAAGCTACATAGTAGTAGTATTTATTTCAGGATCACAGTTGTAAACATGAGAATTACTTAATTATGGATTCCAGGTTAGCTCTTATACAATTGCAGAATTATATTTTTGCTGCTGTTATATTAAAATAATTTTTAAATGTTACCTTGAAATAAAAATATGTATTTTAAGTGCTAATGCAAAGATAAATTAAGAATACTTTTCAAATGAATGCATTGTTTATTTTTTTCTAAGAACTGTAAACATTAAACTAATCAAATTATCTTCAGTGAAAGTGATTAATGATTTATGAGCAAGATGGCATAGCCAGACATTATACACAAACTTTGATATACTACAGAATGCTTCATTGCACTTGTGAAATTCTCTTGTCTAACCTGAACTTACATTCCGTAGTGATAACATGATATATATTCCTTTATTAAAGTAAGTGAACATGTCAAACGCTTTGTATTTATTTCATTCCTCAAAGTAGCATAAAAATTAAGCTCCAAGAAAAAAAGATAAAATGTGTTGTACCTTTGGTAGGAACCACAGTTAAAGAATATCTCCCATGTCTGGACGCAGTGGCTCACGCCTGTAATCTCAAACCTTTGGGAGGCCAGGGTAGGAGGATCACTTGAGGCCAGGAGTACAAGACCAGCCTGGGCAACATAGTGAGACTCTGTCTCCACAAAAAATAAAAAAAATTAGCTGGGTGTGGTGGCACGTGCCTGATTGTATTATTGCCCTTAAGCCTGGGCAACAGTGAGACCATGTCTCTCTCAAAAAAAAAGAATACCAAATAGAAATAATGGTTAACAGTTATCAAGCATTTACTATGTGCTACACACTGCTCTAAGCACTTTTGATGTATGTCATTTAAGTTTCCTAATAACTTAAGAGGTAGGAACTAAGATCCTCTTTTCACAGATGAGACTGAGGCATGAACTGCTTAAGTAATACGCCTAAGGTCACATAGAGGAGGTTGCAGGTTTGGGACTGGAACCTGGGCAGTCTAGCTTAATAACCTGTATTCCATTATATTGAGCTGATCACATGGTTATGCATTTTTTTCTGGCTTAGATTGGATGGGATTGTTCTTTAAGGACAGCAATCTACTCTTTTGAAACATTTTGTTTAGAAGTGCAGGGATGTTAAGTGGTAGATGCCAACAGGTGTTAAAGACTTGAAATGTTGGCTTGTGTGAAATTAATGCTGGAGTGACAACAGTTATAATAAAATTATACAAGAGGTTGTAGCATGATCTTCACTTACCACTGACTGTAGTCTGGACCAAATCAATCTTTTCCTATCTATGAAAGAGAGTTGTACGAGGTAACTTCTGTGGTCTTGTCTAGCAGGTAAATCATTACTGTAACTATGTGAAAGTGCTTTAAAAATATTATTTAAAGGTATTAAGAACTATTTTCTCAGCTTTGAGTAGACATAAGAGATGCTTGTAGGCAGTCCTCATAATTGTTTCATGAAGGATACGCTTTTTGTAGAGAAACAAATTTAGGAATAAGTTTCCGAAAATTGTCTTTGAAAAAAATTCCCTACTTTTATCATGTTCTACTTTCTGTTTTGATGATTTAAAAAATATTTTATAATATGGTATGTTTTATTTTCTTTCCTTTTTGTGGGTAATTTTTGTTCTGGTAGTTGCCCATATAATTATAACACTCTTCTACTTTTTTCAGTCACTAATAATTCCTTATGAGCAATATTTAAACATATCGTGTTCCTTTCCTCTACCTCCTCTACCTCCCAGGACTGGTCAATAATATTATCTTTCTTAGAGTTTATTCTTGTACTGTTAAATATGATTATACTTCTGTTTGACTTGTCAGCTTAGCTTTAACTGATATGCTCTGACTCCCAACAATTATACCAATAGTTAATTTACTCTACTTCCACTTTCTTTCCCCTTCCCCTCAATTTTTGTTCGTTGTATCGTTTGTAATTGTGAGAACACAATGTTCACATTCTGTTCTGTCATCCTCACATTTCTTAGTTCTACAGTTTAAATATATTCAAAACTTATAAACATTCCCAGTAATCTCTTGGTTGACGGAACTTAATGATTAAATAAGTTTCCTTAAGAAAGATTCATAAAACAATTCCGCTAAAATTTTGCATGTGCAGATGTGTTTATCTGTAGCCTTTGCATAGTAAAAACAATTTGGCTAGATATAAAATTCTTAGTTCACATTTTTCTTGGAAATATTGAAAATGTTTCTAGGCCAAATGTTGCTTGACTGCTCAAATTATTTGTTTATCAAGTCCAGTAACTTAGTGTTAACCTTTCTGCATCAGTTTTCACTACATTTTCAGAAATTTTTCATTCTAACAGATGAATACACTATTGATTTTGTTTAAATAAAAATTTGGGAGTCACTGATCTAGGCAAATGGTAGAGGATAGGGAGAGAAGGATAAAAATAGTGTTAGATGGTAATGAGCAATAACTTTTCAAGAAAAAAATGAGTGAAATTTCTTGCCCAACAAGGAGACTGGTAAATAAGGTTGGTAAATGGTAAATTAGGTGGCTCAAGTGGATGTGATACTATTTCTTATTGAAAGACATGAGTTCATGGTTCTACCATTCCTAGCCGAGTAGCCATGGTTTTCTTGTTTGTAAAATGGGGATATCAGCGGGAGAAAGTGTTTGGGTTGAATACAATAGTGAATATAAAGGACTTGCTTAGCATAGTACCTGATGCATATTATTAAGCTCAATAGATACTTGCTATAACTATTATTGCTATAACTTGCTATAACTATACTTGCTATAACTATTATTGCTTTGTTAAGTATAGCAATGCAGCAGTACAGGAGACACATGAACCTTGCACTCAGAATTTATAATCTAGCAGGGAAAGTTGGCATTAAGTAAGTGATTACAGCTGTGCAGGTCAAGGGGCAACTTCCCCTTTTCCCTCTGAATGTTTACATGCCATTCTCTCATCCTCTTATTTCCTTAGTTCTACAGCTTAAATATATTCAAAACTTACACTTATTCCCAGTAATCTCTTGGTTGGCTGAAATTAATGATTTAATAATTTCATTACTAGAGATTCACTGAAAAATCCACTGACAAAAGGCATATTAACAGGATAAAAGGCTTTAAATTTATATTAATGTGCATAACATGGAATCACAGGGTGTGCAGATGTTTATATATCCTTCATAGCAGAAGGGGAGCTGGGGAAAATGTGACAATTTGAGGGATAGTAAATGATTTTTAGGAGCATACAATGGACTTGGAGAACAAAGTGTCCTGGGACAAAGCCTGTTGGACCCGGAGTAGACAATGGCTGGTGACAAAAGTATGTCTGGGTGTGTTGACAGATTCGTCTCTTTTCCTGCAATGTGAGTTAAGTTAATGAAAACTAAAGGAAAGGACCAGAGGTAATTTGTTTTTTTCTTTGGCAAGCCCAAACTTAGGTAGATAAGGGAACTTCAAAGAACAGCTTCACGCGAGAGGAGAGGGTAGGTATCCGTTTATCAGAGAGACCTTGAATTTATTTCAGCATGGCAAAGTGCCATATTTTGAGGTATTGGTTTCTGGGCCCCAACGCAAGAAAGCATGAATATTAGGCAAAGGCAGCAACAAGAACATCTGACTGGGGGACCTAACCCAGGGTTGGGGCTGGAGAAACTTTTCCAGAGGAAACAATATTCTACTTGAAGGAGTTAGTTTGTTGATTTTTCACTGAGTTTGATTCCTTGGTGTTTAATGTTGGATGTGATTGTTTCCATGCCTCTTTCCCCCAGTGGAAAGGCATGATGGCCTTCATCCAGAGCATCTGCCATTAGTGCTTGGCTCGTGTAAGTGTTTGTTGAATTAATTAGAATAAATCAGTTTTTTTACATTTAGCCTATTATCTGTAGGAAAAAAGTTACCTACCTATTTCTAGTTGATGTGCAACAGTGACATCTGGTGGTGAGAGTTGGAATTTGACTCCACACGTAAAAGCCCCCTAAATACACTCACTCTACTTCATCAGTTAGACTGGAATCAAAAAAATTGCACATTTTAAGTAAGGGGGAAAAAACTATTAAAATTGTAGTACTCAATATATACTGTTTACAAAAGATGAATACAAGTCACGTTTTACTTCTGAAATTACAAGAGGTACTCAAAGTGGTTACCATCAGCGTGACGAACTACTGCAGTACTTGCTAGATGTGCAGGGCCTCCTAGATCTTCCCTTGTGCACATCATACAGAGTACCGTGCATCTCAAACTTATCACGAATGCGTGTGATTGTTAGACATTTGGGGGTTCTGTTGCATACTCGTGCCCTCGTTGTACTTCCATAACATTCTTGAATTTCAAATACCACTGCAAAATGGTCTTGTGCTCCTCAAATGACATTTTCTTTGTCCTGCCTGTTGCGTGGTGACACTAGCATTCATTTGATTAATGCTAGTGAAAGTGAAAGTCATAGTACACATTGCTAGTCTAGTGCAATTCAGCTTCAAAAAGTAATACATAGATAGCATCGCTTAAAATATGTAAACATTTTTTGGCACCCCCAGTATTTATACCCTTGATCTTGTTCGAAAGCTCTTCAGATAGAATGAGGAAATTTGAGAGAGGAAACTGGAACATGCCCCAGCCTCAACTGGGTTGCTACTTTATCAGTGAGTGATTTTCCTGCTATAAGTTCATGGAAGAACTAGCACTGCTCATGCAACCTAGTTTCACTCTTAGATAAATGAAGCATACTTTCCACTTAGTCACTGAAATGAAGCAAAAGAAAGAATTTAGTAAGGCA